ATTTAGATGCAGAGCGGTGTATAAATGTGGCAAATAAATGGTTCTGGCAGGTACCAGCTCCCGAGTACAACAGGCACACCTGAAGGTGGGTGAATGGCTGACCGGCTGTACAATGTGAGCCATCTTGTCCATATTTAATGATGCCAAATCAGTTTTCATTTGACAGGGATCGTTTTTCACTGTGTCCCTCTAGTGTGAAAGCCCTTGCCAAACAGCTTTAACTTCTTCAATGCGTTTGGGAGAGAGTTACTGATACAGCTTGGAAAGGATAACAAAGGCAAACTATTCTACAGAATCTCATCCTTCAAAAAATGAAAAGAAAAATAAGCCAATACACAGCTAATGCAAATAGTTCTAAATTTTATAAGAAAGCCTCCCCAACTATTGCTTTATGCATATTTCCTTTATGAAATTACTGATGCTTTTTTGCCATATATATTTATTTCATAGCAGGGTAATACCAAGAGTACAAAACTGTATCTTGTTAACAACATATCACTTTTACAATGATAGGAGAATTACCCAGGTCAAAAGGTTTCCTCTTCTTGTGAATGGTCAAAGAAATAAAAATGAAAAGTAGTGATTGGCCAGTGGGTTACAGTGCCAATTTAGCTTTCTAGACAGACAGCACCTGTCTAGAAATCAGCAAAGATTTCATATTGAGCAACTCTGCTATCTGCCAGAATAACATTGGCTCTATCAGTGAACAAGAATTCTCTCTCTCTAAAAGGATTGGGAGTCTGCAACAAAGGAAAGATGTTACTATGAATGGAGACCAGCTGAGCCATTTTTCTCACTCTGGCACCCCTGTTAAAAACTAACCTTCCAAATCTGGGGGGCTTATACATGAAGCAGAAAGGAGATCTCCCAATATGAAGATACACGTGGGTGTTGATCGGAAGAGGATGGCTGCTTGTTCCACAATGTCTTAGCTCAATCCTGTGCTTATTTACTCAGGAGTAACTCCCACTTTTAAAAAAATAAGGCTTATTCTAAATCTAGCGTGTGCATAGGAGTACAACCTTTGGAGAGTGTAGGATATTAATCTTACATAGAGTAGCCCCACTGAAATGAATGGCACTTAAGATAGTCATAAGTAATTTAGGTCCTGTTTATTTCAATAGGTCTCTTCTATGCAGACCACTGGAAACTACCTTTTACTTTTGTTTGTTTTTAATACAAAGTAGAAAACCTCATTCAATCCAAAGGCTGCATTTTTGGGGGGCAGAGCCAAAGCAAAAGGGGTGGGCCAACAAATACTAGCATATTTTAGCTTAGAAGAAGCATTTCAGCATTTTAGAAGGGGCAGGGATGGTGTTTGTTAAGCCTCGTAACAACTATGGCTGGAACAGAGAAGGGGGAGCCACCTCTGGGCCTGGCTTTGCTCCATGGGCCTAAGGTTACTCAGCCCTGATTCAATCTATTTCCTGCCTTCTGTGCCTGAGCCCCCAGAGGATGGCTATGACAACTGACATTGAGTGCAGTGCATGAAAGAAAGAAACTATTGAACAAATGGCAAAACAACATTGGACAAAGAAAAGCAAACTCAACAACAACAGCAGAATATGTCGATGAAATAGCCAGAGAACCACTCAACCTGAGAGCCTCAAAAACTCTGTTATTGAAGTGCCTGGGTTTGCCAAGGAGTTGCGTGTGCAGAAGAAACTTTTCATGGGAGACCAAACCAAACTGGTGCTTCTGAGAAAGCTAGACAGGCTGTCTTGGATATCGCCCACCTAAACACGCACGCACGCACGCACGCGCGCACACACACACACACACACACACAGTGTGTCAAGCAATGAGAAAACCACGGACAGCAGCAATTCATGTCCACATCCATCCAAAGATTTTGTACCCGAAGTCAGCCAAATTATTTTGGCACATGGGGAAGAAAAACCTGCTTGTACCTCTCCCTGTCTTTAGAAAACAACAACAACAATTTACTGCTCTTTCATGACATAGCAAATTAACTGGCTTATAGGGTGGTTCTCAGATAAACCCAGTGGGGGACAGGGACTGCCCAGAGACCTGGCAGCTGCCCTGGGATGCCAGGTGTTGATGCCCCTCATTCCCCTGAATGTCAGGCACTGCTGCTGCATAATCAACTGAACTAAAATCAGGTCTCAGAATTGGCATGCCAAGTTGTTCTGCTTTTGAAAAAAAAGAGGAGAGAAAGAGTGTCTTGTTAAATGTTCCTCACATACTTGGATGGAGGCAGAAAGAACAGGCAAAACCATAATTAAAAACAGAGTATCAGCAAGGACACACCTGCTCCTACAAAAGTATAGAGATTTAGTGAGACTCCTGGGAAAACTGATGAAAATCAGTGACATTTGTCAAACTGAGAGAAGTAAACAGAGAAGAAATTATCATCAGCATAGGTTTCTCTTTCTGACCCATTTAGTTATATTACTTCTTCATTCAATCGAGTAACATTTCCTGCCTCTTGAATCTAACATACTTAGTTTTCCCCAGATTTATTCTCCAGACAACCAAAAAAAAAAAAGATATAGGAATGAACAGTTTGGGTTAGCAGCAGTGCAAAAGGCATGACAGCGCCCGGACCATGCAATAAAAAGGTGCAAATGGGAGCATGGATATATAGATGCAGTGACAGTAACTTGTATTAAGTAACAGGAAATGGTTTACGGGAAATAGAGACATAGTTCCCTAATTCATCCGTTGTTTCTTACTAAATTTCTAAGGTTAGCCATGTTTTAAGAGTTCAGTTCTACAAGCATGACCATTTTTATAGGATTACACAGCACTGTCTGCCTTTTTTAATGTAACCATTTAAGTAATCCTGATAAAAAATGGACTGAATTGTTCCTGCATCTCCAAACCACCTGTTCTAGGTGGGGCGGCACTCCGTCTGAAGGATAACGCACGCAGGAGCATTTGGATCCAGCATCGTTCCTGGATGGACGAGCATTAGTGGTGGCCAGGACTGCCTCTGCCCAGCTTCCGTTGTTACAGCAGCTGCGTCCTTTCTGCAGGAAAGCAGCTTTGGCCACTGCGACTCATGCCCTACCTTGCATTCTTTGTAGAACTGTCCAGAAAGAATGTCTGTGCATTTATGGTGCAAAATGTGGTGGCCAGACCTTCGGTCTGGTGTGTGTTTTCCAGACCGTGTAACACCAGTTTTGTACCACTTCCAGTGCTGGCTTCCAAGTTTGCTTCTGCTCTCAATTCAATGTGCCAGGCTGAACTCTAAGGTGCTAATTCGTCTTGGGACCTGGTTATCTGAAAAACCACCTCCTATCATATGAGCCTCTACCCCAAATTGTCCTTTTCTGAAACCCTGTTCAGTGTCCTAGCTGCTGGGCATCCATAGCAGGGACTTTGTACAGCAGCACCCCAGTTCTGAAATTCTCTTCCTAGGGAGGTTCAGCTGGCCTGCTCCTTAGTGTTCTTTAGGGGACTGGTGAAGATTTGCTGTGTGTGTGTGTGTGTGTGTACATTTATTTATTGTGCTATACAAAACAAAAACCAAAATAAGCTAAAGTATTACAATTCTTGAATAAAATTAAAAAAAGTTTTATAACACTTGTTATTTATGTATTGCATATCAGTGTATTAATATATAACAGAACACAGTTTTACTGAAACGATTATGCATTGATCTTAACAGAAGCACGCAAACTATCCATATATTTATCCATTTGTAGATTATATCTAAAGACCAATCTTCACCAGATCAAAAGATTAATAAAATCCTACACCCACTATGTTGTTGCAGGTGGTTATTTAGCCTTCCAATGATGTAATGTTACAAAAGGATGTGAAAAATCTATTTACATTGATCTTGAATTAAATTCCACACTGGTAGTTAGTTCAAAAGAACATGTGTATCCTTAAAAATATCCAACTTTCCATCACAAGATTTATCCAAATTATTACCTCATTCCAAAAGTAAGTTGCCATTGGACATTGCCAAAACATATGAAGAGCAGTATTAGCATAATTACACCTCCAACAAAGAGACACTGATTTATTAAGCCATTATTAAAGGTACATTGTGGTGGCCAGTATACATAAAACATCATATATTCCTGAATTAAGGAAAGGAAGCAATTCAGCTGTTTTGGTTTGAAAGCAGCTCATTGTAGTCCACTTTGGAAGATGATCCAGAAATATTTTTCTGGAAATACTTGCAGGAAAAAGGGAATACTACCAAGTAAAACAAACAATTTGTGATATAACAGTCATTTTAAGTGTATTTACCTTATGGCATAGACTTAACTTTATATATGTCCATCTATTAATGTCCCTTGAGTGCTCGTTAAGACTACAGCAGTAGGCAGCATATGAATGAATGAATGATCAACCAACTCAAATTTAACTTAATCATTGATATATCTCTTGAGATAAGTATTCCCAAATAGTAATAAATTCAGTACAAAGTCTGAGTTTGCCAATTAGTTAACACTTTATGGAGAGCAATATCTTCTACAGACATGAGCTTTGACCTCAACTGGTCAATAGGATAATAAGATAAATATCTGAAATCATTAATCATCTGTACCAAAGCTGGAAGAGATTACTGGCATTACAAAATAAACAAAAGAAGCTCATTAATATGGAGAATACATTTATATTCTAATACATTATACACAAATCTATGAATATTAAGGTTTTGTCAGGAGTTCAAAACATAAATTAAGTATCAGTGAAGAAGAGAACATCCCTGTCTGGTACTTCTCGCAAGTGAAAAGAAAAAATCTCAGATAAGATTCCATTGGTCCTAATTCTGGCTCTTGGAGTTTCATATAAAATTTTAAGCCATTTAGAAACAAATTTCTCATGGTGGCAAAGATAAATTTCAAATAAATTTTATCAAAGGCCTTCTCTGCATCCAGAGATAATGACAGCTGTATCTATTCTATACTTTTTAATGCAATCAAGTTAACAGTCACCCTAAGATTATCATTTTGCTGCCTATTTTTTATAAATCCTACCTGGTCTGGTTGGACTAACATTGTAATAACACCTCAGCACTTAGTATTTTAATATTAGTATCAATCAATGAAATAGGTCAGTGTTTAGCATAGGGAGTATGGTCTATATCTGGCTTAAACATTTCTGCAATGTGCTAATGACAGTGAATCTAATTCAAAAATAGATTTATGCAAATGCAATGCTCAGGAACTGGAAAGCTAGGATTTTTTTTTTCATATCTCTCATTTGGAAATCTATCCAGACCAGATCTTTATCCATTTTCATGTTATATCTTTTGTGATTTCATCAATCTTTAAATGCACCATTAAAACTCACTTTTATAATACACGTGGACACAGAATGTTAACTGGGGGTGTGGGGAGAACCATCAATATCCTGCTCTGACATTTCATGGCCATTGCTATACAATTCTGAATATAATGTTAAACATTTTAAATTTCTGTCTTCAGGATGACTAAATACACCTAGTTCCCAGGTTAAGAATGAGTTTTATTCCTGAAACTGTCTTTAAGTCAAATTTGTATGTAAGGCAAATCATGTGTATTTTTATGGAAATACATTGAAAACACTTAAGAAAATTCTATATACAGTAAAACATCTTAAACACAAAACAGCATTTCAGTAATAATTGTACCATAATAATAAAGTAAGTACAGGTTCAAAAGAGAGAGAATATGATTATTGAACGACTAAAGCCTAATTATTATTGAACGCTTTCCCACTGACCAATGGCCTCTTACTTTTCTCTGACTGCTTTGTTATTCCTACATTAGTTTTGACTGCGTTTGCTTTGCTTCAATGCATCACCTGCACTTGCATCAGATTTATGCTTGGGAAGCATGGTTGCAAACCAGATGCAGTGCAGAGCTACAGAAGGCAACACTTACGATACATGATCTGAAACACACTGGCTTGGATATGCTAATTTTTCATGGGCATGAAAAACTACCTTAGTTCCACCATCACTTGGAACTAGTTAAGACTTTGCTGCTCACTGCCTTTTCCCTCTTTCTTCCCTTTCCTCCCTCCCTTCCTTTTCAAGGAAGAGGTGGTACTTCCAGATTTGCCCATTCGTAAGTAGGAATTGTTCTTAACTCAGACATTCATAACTGGGGTACTGGGTATATCTTGCTATTATTGCCTTTAATTTCCAAGTAGTTTTATTTTTGCTATTTGTTACCAAAAACTATTTTCTAACATCTTATCAGGTTATCCAGTATCTTTTTAGGTCACATTGTCCTAATATGTCTGTTTTATCCAAACTAGTGTATTTTTTTATTATTTTAAACACTTATCTTAGGGTTACACTTCCTGATAAAGTTGTCCATTTGGAGAGGGAACAGAGTGACATGTAAGTGCTTTTAACCTATCACTTAGAATTCTTTGTCTCCACCAGCTGAGCTTTCAATGTATTATCTATGTTTATCATTAGTTCCCAGTTTTGAAATATATTTCGTATTTCTATATTTTGATCTTTGGATTTGTAAATTGCCTTGAGTATTCATTATTGAAAAATATCCTTAGATTTATTAAATTACATTACATAAATGCCGCAACATTAAAAAATGTGATCCAATTACATACACAGGTAATCTAAAACCCTTTGGTTTGGCAGAGAAGCAGCAACAGCACGACACTTTCCTTCCCTGACACTCCATCCTGAAAGGTCAGTTGCTTGGGTTTTTGCCATTTATAGGCTCCTGTATGTACCAAGAGGCATATGTAGACCTGATATGTGTATGTGGTTCTCCAGTGAAGTAGGGGCAAATGTACAGACAATCACTGTTGCCCATATAGTACCTGAAGTACAGTTAAAGCCTCTTACTGCTATATTTTCTTAAGAGCACCTTTGGATCTACAATTGATAAGTCTGGATATATTTGTCCCACAAAGTATAGTGAGACATCTTGAAAGTAAGATCCCCCCATACCACCACCTTCAAAGAAACAAAGCTTTGCTTTCTTTCCACAGTTTAAAAATTAGAACATTAGGGAATGACAATGGAAAATTATGAAAAGCCTTGTGAATGCAGGTGCTTCTCTTCACAGCCTTACACATGGATTTTAAGGTTTAATCTTACTGGGTTTTGTGTGCGCACACACAACCATTCAAAAACATTATGATTATTATATTTGCAAATAAATGTCAAAGCACTTTTCAGAGACCCTGGAAAATCCTTAAAATATCTGGAGAAGGTCAGTAATTGGTTTCCTTCAAGAAAACTGGTAAATTAATTTTGCAACTTCCTCCTGTTTCTGAATAATGGCAAATTAGTGGGATTCTCCATGACTTATCTGGCTAGTCAACAGAGAACTGCCAAAATGCCAGTTCTACTAGAGATCCCTTTGTAAGAAGGGAATGGACATTTTCTTTTGCAAATTGAAGACCAGAACGCCTAACAGTCAATCTCCATTTGTAAATCACAGCCTGAAAAGCCAAGTTTTTAATAATTAGTAAGAATGAGCTACAACAGCAACTCAAGTTTCTCCTTTAAGATACCATGTTAACCTCTCCTAATTTAGTGCCCTTTCATCAGCCTGAGATATAATTCTTCAGCCATTTGGTGAAAGACCTCTTCCCTGCCCCTGCCCCCTCCCCTTTTGCAGCCAAGCACAAGCTGTAAATTGTCCCATATCTGTTTTCTTTTCAACACTCAGATAAAGACCTTTGACTGCTCTGCTCTTATTAGGACTACATAAATCAAAGTCTATTAAAGGGCAAGCCTGGTAATCTGAGCAAACAGCCTGTTCAGACTGCGATGAAATTGCTGTTTATGTTCGCCTTTGTACAGGGCTGATATAAAGTAAAACTTTCAGGAAACGTTTTCTAAATTCTCTGCCAAGCTCCAGGACACAATTTTGTACATTAAAAAATGCCATCTTAATTTAATGCTTCAGTCCTTAACCATTTTAATAGGAATGATTACTGAGCACATTTAGTATGGATCTGGGTACACACTGTTTTAGCTCTTTAAGTCAGGGCTGAGCAACTGTGGAAGGTGCCAAGGCCATTTCAGGCAAATCAAACTGTGGGCTGAACTTCCCCCATATGTCAAGAGGAGGAAGGAAAGGGGCATCCAGAACATTAAAGGGGTCAAAAGGGGGGTCAAAATGGCTGGTCCAGGTGCCACTGGAAAATATTGATTGATTTAGTTACACCCCACCTTACTACCAAGACATGGCATTCAAGGCAGCTTTTTATTATTGGGTGGAGGGCAGAGGGGTGTGCGCAGCCCACAGGGGTTGTGTTTTTCCACCCTTGCTCTCTGTGTACTGGCATTTTTGCATGGGTCAACTGGCCATCACTTTCATGACAGGTATTTTCCATTTCAACTGGGTAGTGCACTGGTCCCCATGCAAAACAGAGCCAAGGGCAGTCTGGGCAAAATCCAGGCAGCAGGATGCCCAGTAATGGCAGTGCTGCTACCTGCCCCCAGAGGATGTGCTGACACTGGATTGCTCTACAACACAATATATATTGTTTTCAAAGCACAAAACGTATTTCAGCCCTTAGACACAGTCTGGCTTAGCAGCTGCTCTTTATCCAAAGGATAAAGCATTTGGATTAGTAAACAAGGGCAGCCTTGGCCACCATTCCATACTTATGAATATGGTAGTTGCACAGCTCTGCAGCACACATCACGCAAGATTCCATGCATACCCTAGTCCCAGGGATGCCTTCTTCATCTCTTGAGTTCTTGGCAAGACCCTCTCCCTTCTGCAGTTCTTAATAAATCCATTACACTGAGCGTCTGCTGCTTCTCCAAGCCACTGCACACTGCTCAGTTTCTATCACTTTCATATCTCCTCAGTGCTTTTCACTGGAGTCAGCTTATACATTTAAACGTCAAGTGCTGAAGAATGAAATGGTGTGCAAGGCATGCATACAGGAGGCAGGAGCCCTTAACCAATCTTGCCTTGCAAGAACTTTGTAAGAAAAACAGCTAAAACATATTAGGTTCTTCTATACAATCATGGTTCAGAACTTACACTAAAACTGCAAAATTAATTTATTACTTGGACACTGCAATATTCAACAAACAGTTCTTCATGCTCACTTTTTTTTCAGAAAAAGGAAAGCAGCCACTGTCAGTTCCTTCTTTTTAAAGCTGAAGTCATTGCAGCAGATAACTGATTTCTCTTTGGGAAATTAGCAAGGCATTACCTTCCATGGATCTCAGACTCCTAATGCAACAAATTAAGTTGCTCTCTGAATGCCTGATCTGCAACAGTAGGCATCCCTGCTTAAGGAACTTGCCTCTGACACATTCTTTGAAGATCTCAAAACTCCAGAGTCAAACAACAAGTTAAATATACAATTTTGATTGTTCTTGCTGGTGGGATGTTTTCTCTGGCTCTGCATTGCATTTTAGAAAGATTTGAAGTCTTCATTCCACAGTTCTTTATAGCTGAAATTTAACTTGAGAGGATTTTTCAAATCATAAATTCCTTTACATCTTCAAAAATGCAACCTGTAATGGAAACAAAAAATCAGTCTCTGCATTGAAAGCATTAGAAAATAAACACCTACCTACCAAGTTGTTCTCCATAACTTATTGCCAAGCAAACTGCACAGAGAGATATCCTTTTATCACTTAGAAGATGAGAAATGGCTCCAAAGTGATCTTCTTGCAGAAAGAGTATTGTTTCCTTTAATCTGTTTAGACTATTCTGGCCAAAGATATAGCCCATTAGATGCAATGAGTTCAACACAACATTTTCTAGTGAAATAAAACAGATACAGACATTTGCACTTCACGTGCGAATGATGTGAGTTGCATGGTAATGTATTTTCCATGAACTTCTGCAAACTGCTCTGTAAAGTACAAAGAACTATTTGGTTTGAGCTAGGAAAAACTCACCTTTGGAAATTAATAAACTGTGAAGAAACTGGACTACTTGTTTAAATCACACCTTGCAGAAGGAGGCTACTTGTACATTTGCAAACAGGTTGAAGACTTACTTATCTACTGTTCAAAGGATGGCAACATAGAGTATTAGCTAACTGAGCTTTTAGCAGCAAGTCCACTCATCTACCTCACTACCTTTAGAGGATAACACATTTTGGCTTATAAAATAAAGCATCAAGGATAGACAACTTGTAGGCCAAATCAGGAAAGCCACAATTCACATCAACTCTCACTGCTGGCCAGGGTGGCTAGAGCTGATGAGAGCTGCAAGCCAAAATATTTGCAAAATACAAGCCAGAAGTCATAAGTTGCCCATTCTGCCATCCACACTCACTTGCAATAATTAATATCATACTAACATCATTAAAAGAAACAGTAAAAATGCAGCCGGCTGCATTCAAAACCAATGACTGGTGTTGGCAATCATTATCTTGGGCAAATAAGACAGACTTCACTGGTACAAGAGGGCAACACCACGCTGCCATTCTGCCCCAAATCTGTCACCATTTCTCCAAGAATTCGCCTTGTACTTGATGGCTAATTGACAAGAGCTGCCTCTCCAGGATAAGGTGCATGTGCAAGACTGACAGCTGAATACCCTGGCAGTATTTGCCTCAGACTAAGGAAGACTTAGACTTACAAAAGAGGAGTCACCTGCTTCTCACTACAATGAAGGCAACATTCTGGCATCACCTCATCTGACTGCTGAGAGCGCTCAGTTCATGGGCGATCTTCCAACTGGCACTAAAGCAGGCCTACCTAGCATCAGGTATAGCCAATTAGCCAATTTCGGCTGCCACCATTGTGCTTATTTTCTAGGACTCTCAAGGGTCCTGGTGCCTTGAACTCTGTTGCCTTTGTGCTTTCTTGTGTGTCAGGATGTTGCCCTGGCTATCGTGAGCCTTGCTGCCTCCAAATCAGTCATTGGTTTGGTTTTTCATAATCATAAGGTAGAATTCAGTACAGCCATGGAAATGTGGCTGCTGTGCACATCACTGTTCAACTTCTTAGCTAATTACAGGCAAAAGGAGGAGTAAAAATCCAAGAGTCACTGCACCTTATTAAACCACAGCACTGTTGGACTTCGGCTAATTTCTGAACTATTATTGCATAGAAAATCTTCCACAGGAATGGAGAAAGGTTGTTTAGGGGGTGTATCACAAGAACTCAAGTCAGAGATGTCCTTGTTTTCAATGGGTCAGATGCAGTTTTGCTACAGAGTCACTGTTAAGGAGTTTAGCAGCCACAGTCCTATTTATATGCTAATGCATACATGAGAAAGCCTTGCTGATGCCACCATCTTTCATTGCCTAGAATTCTATCACATCTACAAACCTTTTCTTGGCTGAATACTTTCTGCCAGGACTGTCCATGCCTCATGGAATCCTATACCCAGAGAACTCCAAACGGGTGACTGATGTTTCACATGGACTTTGGGACTCTGACAGTCTTCCCTGCCTGCTCTTCCTTCAGCCTAGACTTTCCATCAATTGCATTGACTGAACTCTCTCTCTCCTGAACTTGTTATCCACTCTAGAAGTTTGTCTGTTGAACTCTGTCATATTGAAATCTTTCAGGGAACATAATGCCAGGTTTTTTTTAGAAACCATGGATTAGTGTTTGCCATGAACTTAACATTCTGGTTTGGACTGTTCTAAGGCTGTTGCTTCACCTGGTACCTGAACATCAGAGATTTTCAATGCCATCTCTGTTCTTTGATTTGATCTCTGCGCATGGGTAGGTATTTCTAGTTCGTTTAATCTCAAGCCTGCTTCCTGAATCAAAAACTGCCAAGGGTCCATTTTAGACATTCTGAAAGGAAACTTCCTTGTCTAGTCCATTCCTAAATCCCTGAACGCAGTTTGATTTGGACCTAACGGTGCAAGCTCCTGAAATATGGAATGCCTTCCATTAATTTGGGACTCCACCTTGTCATAACGTATTCTTGTATCCTTGCTTCTGAGATACCTTGAGGCTACTGGGCATGAAAATCATTCATTTTGGAACTGTCTCCAATGCCCAAGGCTGTTTGTTTTCATTTATTCTCCAATGATTACACTTAGTTTAGCTGGGGCCAGACAAGTCTTGTCCAAAAGACTACCCCAAGGGCTGAGGCTAACTAGGACTTCTCCTGACTCTGATCCTTGGGCACCTCAGGCTCCTAAGCATGAAGATATGACTTTTAGGAACATTTCCTTGAAAAGGGCTGCAGAAAATCTCAAGACGCACTGAAAGGCAGGCACTTAAAGAAAAAGGCACCCACTGGGTACAGTAGCAAACTAAGAATCTACACATCTTTATCCTACCTGCCAACTCAAGAAATTTCACTGGGGCCCTATTTCCAACCTGGTACTTTCCAGATATTTTAAACAACTTCCAGGATTTCTTCCCTGTAGCTGAATGAGGCCAATGGAAGCTGGGATCCAAAACATCTGGGGGTACCATTTGGGGAGAATGCTGTAATAAAACAAGGTTACAGTTCGAGAACAGCTTGCCTTGTAACAAGACTGGGCATGTTTCAGACACAAATCAAGCTGTTTGGGCTGACCGTAAAAGTTTCATTTAAGTCAGTAAAAGATGGGTATGTTAGAATGGACTTCTATTTCAGTGGAGTGTTAGAAGTTTTGCACCAGCCCTGAGTCTTGTGAATGCAACTATATAAATAAATAATGCCTTGGAGGGGATGAAATAATCGATTACATTTTAAAGAAATTACTGAAATTACAAGAAAAGAGAATTATAGCAGCACAGCAGGAAGAGCCTCCTTACATTACCTTCCCATCCCCCATCCCCCGCACTTCGTGATCTTTGCAACAGTGATGTGTCATCTACACAGACAATTAGAGACCTAACACTGCCCTGTATCACTGAAAGTTTATAGCCCCACTCCCAATGTTATTCTAATTGCCACTGAGCATGCTGGGAAGCTCCGCATGTACAGGCCATTATTAAGTGGCTCCATAAATCATGGAAAAGAGCAAAGGAGAGTGGTAACAACAGGAAGCCTTAGTTCAGATTAAAATAGACTCCAGAAAACCCCAAACATTTGATGGAAGACAGAAAGCTATCCTCTGAGGTGGACTCAGAGGTCCGTCCTCTGCAGTAGTTTTAATAGCAATGGCTCTTTAGAGCTTCAAAAGAGTCTCAGCCCACTCTGGAGATACCAAAGAAAGAATTGGATGCCTTCGGATGTGCTTTGCCAGTAAGCTACACCCCTTCCCCTCTTACATTAAGGAGGGTACTCTTTGTTTGTATAGGATAAAATTCTGTACAAGCAAAGCCCAGAGTTCCCCTGCAGAAGTCTCACGAACACATTATTGACCTAGTTGTTGTAGGGGAGTTGCTCCAGTCCTCTGATCATTTTGACTCTAACTCCAATGGCAAAACTTTGCAAGCCAAAGTTGCTGTAGCTTGCTTAGAGATGCTGGGGAACAAAAGCTTATTCTCGACAACGTACTTCAAGAAAACAAGTCCTTCCAAATTCAGGATGTATAAACTATTCTGCAGAGTTTGCAACAGAGATGCTTTAGACACACAAAATGAATGAGAAGGCAAGAAAGACTTCAGAGGAAAAGCCAAAGTTTTGAACAGTGATGGCAAATAGTGTGTCTGGCTTGAATGAGATAAAAGAAGAGGGTTTATTTTTTAACACTGCCCTCTTGACTAGGAAAGGGGCAAGCAATCCAGTATGACACATGAAGACTTGACATCAGTCACGAGTTTCTTTCACAAACAGCAAGAAAACAATGAAGCTTCCAAAAGGAGCCCGTGAACAATTAGCCTGCTTTTAAACTGCTCCTAAATATATATTTACTTCAAAGTAAAGTAAAACAAGGGACTGAAGAGGAGAGATTTGCATTATTTATTCAGCTCATTTATATACTGACCTTCAAGATGCAAAGTCTTCCAAAGCAGCCCACAACAATAAAGGAGATAAACAATTCATTTACGAAGGGCTGGACAGGGAAGTTTAGATGGCATATACATATAGAATATGTATATTTCCTTGTCTAACCTACCCAGTTTTGTCCTGCCTAAATCCCTGTTGTCTAAAAAGCCCTTCTGACTGCTAACAGAAACAAGTGTCAGTGAAAAATGGGCCTTTTCCACCTTTCCAAGAGCTTAGTTTTGGAAATGGGTGAAAATAGGGGCACTGTGACCTGGGGGAGGGGGGCACTCTAAACCGTGAGGATTCTTGCTACAAAGAGAGTAGAAAAGGCACCAACTCCTTTTTGTAAGCAAAAATCATTTGTAGCTTTGCTTTGTTTGGAAAGCTACCAAAGTAAGAGAAAGAAAAAACTGTCTGGAGGTGCTCTGGATCAATGTCCAGGCTTGGTACCAGCACATGTCCCCCAAAACATTGCCTAGCTGAGAGTAACTACTTTGGACCTGTGGAAGTGTGCACCTCTGCCCTTGCACAAGTCTGAGCAGATGTTTTTTGAAAATGGAGAATGTGCACATTTGGAATGCAAAAAAAGGGGGACAGCCAATCAGTGACAGCTCCTCTAATGTATTCCTTGGGCACTTTGGAGGGCCTGTCACTGGAAGACTGTGGAAGCATC